TATTTCTTTAGAATTGATGTATAATTGGGACAAAAGCTGAGGTACTTAAAGATATTTGTTTCCCTTCTGCCCCTCCCGTCTGCCCCGTGCGCTGGGCCACCAGAGGCCGGAAATGGAAGCGGAAGCGGAAGTGTTGTCTAGGGAGCTCTTCCGAGCCTGGACTAGTGCCATGGAGGGACCTGGCTCTAGGGAGCCGATGTTGGATGCTAAATCCGAGGTAAGTCCCTGTTGAGAAGGAGAAGGGGCATCAGGACTCTCGTTCCTGAAAGGTCTTTCCCTAATCTGTGCTTTCTGCTTCCGTTTCAGGTCACCGACCAGGTGAGTCAGAGGCCGCCCCGCCCTGTCTCCAGCCCACCGCCTCTAGACCAGGGCGGGCGGCAGCGCCCGGCCCGCCTCCCTCGGCTGGAGGACGGTGCAGCTGTGAGCCTTGCCCAGGTTTTCCATTTCATTACCGGTATTCGCGAGCCCGAGACTTTCAGCCCTCATCGCTGTATTGCACCTTCCCCTTTGCACCCGAAATGGTGGCCCCTGCCGCTGTAATTTCAGCTCTCCGCCTACCCTAGCCCCTAGTACAGACCGTATGGTTTTTTGTTGATTAGGTACCTTTATTCGAAGATGAGAATACATTATTTTTGAATGTGGTGGACATACAAGAAATTATTAAAATTTGCAGAGATAGCGCTGCAGACTTTTCTTGCTCTTTAAGAGTTGTTTTGAAAATGGACTGTACCTTTTTAACCCAGCAGAGAACATACTTTTTATGCTGTGAATAAGAATTTAACTTAATTAAGTATATCTTAGTCTCCTTTCTTGTTTCAAGTGTTTTTGCAGCTATTTTTAGGTAAGTAATTTAAAACTCACCTTTAGGAAGAATCCTAAAGCTAGAATATTTTAGGTTAAGAGTTATGCAGATTCATACAAAATACAAGAGTGCTAAGGTAAAAAGTAAGAATACCGAGGCTGAAAGAGGTGCCCATTGACTTCTTGCTGTCTCCAAACTCATCTTGCTGCTGCTTTGAGGATTCTGAGAGGTAGAACTCAGAGATAGTAGTCAGTTACTTTGCCCTGAGTTACCAGTTAGTGCATTTTTATTCATTCTCACTCAAAGCATTTTGTCTGTTTACTTACAAGGTACAATCACAAAACACAGTGAATGTTTAAATTTTTAAAATTTGTTAAAGTAAAAGACGTATTGCCAATTATCTCCCTCAAAATACTTCTTGCTTGGAATACACTTATCTTTTTTGCTATTTTCTAAAGCAGTTCTGGAAGACCTCTTTCCTGTCTTTAATTGTGCCTTCATGGCTGCTTTGATGTCCTGAATCAACTCAAAGGGTTTTCCTTTTGTGATCATGCTGATTTTTGGGAAGAGCCAAAAATTGCAGGCTGCCAGATCTAGGTAAATAAAGTGGATTAGAACACACTGTAATGTTTTTATTTGACAGAACTGCTGTAAATGTTTTAAATTGTTTTTTTGTAGTTCAAACACAGAGTGGGAATATATTTAAACAAGATCACACAACATTAAGAAATAAATTACAACCTATCTTGCAATAAATCTAACAAAAGATGTTTTAAACCTTTATGAAGAAAATTATAAAAAGCAACCAATTTCTAGTTTCTGGCCCAGCTTATAAGGCACTTGAAAGTTATTGCTTCGTCCTAACGAGAACTGAACAGACTAAAAGATCAATTGTTAGACCTGTCAAAAAATGAGATCACGTGGTAACGTTAGTTTGGCAGCAAAGGGTATCTGTCAACCAGCAAGTATTTTTTTAAATGCCTGAACCAGACACATCCTTAAGCTTTGGAAATGAGAGAATTCTTGTACCCACAGATTTAAGTTTTAGAAGAGCTGCATTTATCCAGTCCTGTTTTATGCGGTGACAGCATTGAACAGTCACTGCCTGAAACTGAAAAGTATTGAGGCAGCTAGTAAACATGTACTCTTTGGAGTCAAACAGACTTCAGCTTTTATTGTCATTCCAGAAGTGTGTGACCTTGTGCATATTACCTTAACTCTCTGACGTTGAGATTTGTCATCTGCAAAATGGAAATAATAACCTATAATGTGATGATGATTCAGGGAGGCATTTAATGCATGTAAACTGCATAACACATGACATAATCACCTGACATGCACGTATCATGAAGACTGATGAAATCTAAGACGGCCTTCTGCTAATGTAAAGGTTGAGGGTGAGGTGCATGGTGAGGAAGGAAACAGGAATGGCTCTTACGTGTGCCTCAACCAACTATGATCACTTAGCCCATCTTCCTTCCCTTCCAGTATTTTGGGATGTGCAATGGGAAAAGGCATGTAGAACAGGAAGGTGAGGTAAAAGATATTTCAGAGCATTTGGAATCCTCTGAAGTGCCAGAGCAAAATTTAAGCTTATTGAAAATAGTGCTGTCACATTCTCTACTTCCATTATATACCTGACACTCACTCTCACTCTCCATATATACATTTTGTTTACTATTATCAGCATTGAACTAAAAGTCAAGTGTAAGGTAGTAAAGTTGAATATATATCTGCATTCAAGGCAATGGTATTACTAATGTTTTGTTTTTTGTTGTTTTATTAAAGCTTATAGATTTGCAGTGGAAACTGGGTATGGCTGTGAGCTCGGACAGTTGCAGATCTCTAAAATATCCTTATGTTGCGGTGATGTTAAAAGTGGCAGATCATTCAGGTCACGTAAAGAACAAATCTTTTGAAATGACAATTCCACAGTTTCAGGTTTGTAGTTTAACTCATTGAATTTTAGTACATTTTTCTATAACTGCTTCTTAGAAAACTGCATAAAAATCTTTTAAAGAGAAAATTTTCATTGTTTTTACTTGCAAGTTGATGTATTTTACATGTGTTTGTACACACAAAAGATGGAAACTTGTTCTATTTTCGATCTTTTTTTGGTACCTGGAATCAAACTCATGACCTCAGGCTTGCCAAGCAAATGCTTAAGCCCCTGAGCTATATCCCTGACCCCTGTTTTATTTTCAGTAAAATATGAATTTGTGTACTGTGGCGTTTGGTTGCTTTAACAGTTGTCTGAGGGTATTTTCATCTTCTCCCACGGATATTGCATTTAACTTACTCTTTTTCCTTTAGGTGTTGTAATCAATACTGATAAGCTAAATGAATCTTTTCTTTCAGTAGTGTTGACTCTGTTTCCTGAGTAATGTTTACAAAATGCACATCAGACTGACTGTACCTGTTGACTAGTTTTATTAGCTAGGAGTTTAAATAACTTAATAGTTTATGTTTAGAGTTATGTTTTTTATATTATCATTTTACCACTTTTTTGGTAACATTTTATCACTTTTTTGTAACCAAGGAAGAAAAAAAGGGAGGGAATAAATCAGATTTTCTTTTGAATGTACATCCCAGGAGGTGTGGGTGTTTTTTTGTGTGTGTGTTTTTGAGACAGGGTCTCACTATGCAGTTCAAGCTGGCCTTGAGTTTACTTTGTAGCCCAAGCTGGTCTCAAACTCGCAATTGTCCTTCTGCCTCAGCCTCTCAAGTGCTGGGATTACAAACTTGCACCACCACAGCCGGCTACCCCAGGAGGTGTTTTGTTATTATCTAATTCAACTGGCCTATACATGTTGCTTTTGTTAGTTCTAAACCCTTCAGCCTATGAATAGAAAGGAATTCCTAACAGCAGTTAGTACTCAGGGAAAAGTTGGATACTCTAATAAATGCAAACATCGTGAATAAATGAAAATAAAAAGTGGATTATTTGTAAAACTAACTAAAAACATAATTAAGCTTTTTTTAAAAAAAGGCTTCTCATATACCATTATATCATAATATTTGAACGCTACATTTTAAGGCATTTCTTTACCTTTGATTTCTTTCTTTGAAAACATCTTTGCTTTAAAACAAAAATAATGATCATAAAATAATGTTGATTATTGTTTTTGGAAGGAATTAGGATTTGGGGAAAATGGAATAAATATAGTATGTTGTGATACATAAGTAGCCTTCAACTGAATATAAAGACCAAATCAATTTAAAAAGAAGATACAGATCTCAGTCCTTTTTTGTAACTTGCAACTGCTGGTCTACTTCTTATCATTCTTTGCAGCATTCATGCTTTCTGATTTCCACCTCTAGAAAAAGTTTTTTCTTATAGGAAAAAATATAAATGGGCAATCTTTTTTTCCCCAGCGTTATTGTATAATTGACAAAAATTCTGTATTTTCAAGGTGTGCAATGAGATGATTAGATAAAAGTATATGTTATAATGATAACTACAACCAAACACATTCATTGTCACATATAGTTTGTGTGTGTGTGGGGTAAGGACATTTAAAATCTTCCAGCAATTTCAAATAATACACTATTAATTATAAGCTCCATATTGTACCTCAGATTCTCAGAACTTTTATAACTGAAAGTCTTATAACTTTTGATCAACATTTCCCCATTTTTCCCACTCCCAATTCCTGACAGTCACCATTCTACTCTTCTGTTGCCTCTGTTCATTGTTTTTTTTTTTTTTTAACAATACTGGGGGGTTGACCCCAGGGCCTTGAAATTGAGCTATATCCCTAGCCCATTCTTTAAAATTTTGAGATGGAATCTCACTGAGTCACTAAGTTGCGCAAGATCAGCTCAACTTGCTGTCCACCTGCCTCAGCCTCCCAGTGCTGGAGTTAAAGGTTTGTACCAATACATTTGACTTCTGATGTGATGTTAAAAAGGAATTTTCTCACGTGCTTGAAAAGGTTTACTCATGAGCTAATTACCTGGTTCTACTGTAATATTTTTGTTCATAGTACCAAATAGCACCTCTTTGTTTCTCATAGCAACTTTTAGTAGTTAAGGGTGTAGCAAGAGAACAATGTGTTACATGGTACCTGGTCAGTATAATTAAGGGACTACTTTATCCTCTAAAAGCAAAAGTTAATATTTTTCCCCTTTCTTTCTAGAATTTCTATAGGCAATTCAAGGAAATTGCTGCTGTTATTGAAACTGTGTGAAAACTGATTACTTGGATTGATAAACTGCTATCATTTTAAAATGATGGATTTCACCTGCAAAAGAACTGCACTTTCATTTTTCCATTTTTAAGAAGTAATTTAAAAATCAGATAAGCAGGAATTAGTGGTGATTGATGCACAGCTTTGCAAATGTACTACAAATGACTGAACTGAACAACTTTAAAGGATGTATTTTGTATGTGGATTATGTCCTAATAAAAAAAAATCAGACAATTGAGTGATATTGAAGACAACTGCTTAAGTCAGGGTTTTCAAGGGAATGTGTTTCATACAGGACACATAATATATAGGATTATTTTATGGTATTTACCCAAAAAGTCAAATGCAGGAGTGCAAATAATCTGTCCGCACACTAAGAGACCCAAAAAATCCAGCTGAGGGCCTGGATCCCATGGCACTGTGCTGCATGAGTCCAGCTAAAGACCTAGAGCTCATGGCAATGTTCTCCACAAGTCCAGCTGGAGGCCTGGAGCCCATGACAATGTCTCATGGAAGTCTGTATCAACAGTCTACACTGGGAAAAAGCCCAAAGGTCAGTGGTGGAAGCTGGAAGGTCTGCACCAGCGAGATGGAGGATCTGTGCCAGCAGGCTGAGGGTTCTGCACCAGAGCCAGGAAGCAATGCTCAAAGTAATTTCCATATTTTATTATGTGGAGAGGGGAGATTTAGAGCAAAAGTGTTGTTAAGCATTCTTACTCTGTTGGTAGAAATAGGAACTGTTAGGATTTTTTGCCAAGTTAAGGACCAGAGCTCCCCCAAAGTGAACCACAGCCATGCTCAGCAACAGCAAGGACCTGAGCTCCCACCATGGGAACAGCTGAGTTCATATCAGGAAACCAGCGTGACAAGCTTCTCCAGGAGAATCAACAGTACAACATCTTCCCTCCAGTTCTCTTTCTATGCTGTTGGCAATAATCCTCATGTGGGCCTTCCATACCCAGAACCACGCTGCCTCAGTTCAGCTGGGTGTTGCAAGCTGACCATTCGTTAATCTACAACAGTTCAGTTTTATGTACTTATTACAATAATAGTCTGAAAATTTATTGGTAATACCCAGTTTATAAACAAAATTTTATATAGAGTCCTGTAAATATGCATGTCAGAAAAACAATGATTGTAGTCACTACAAATTTAATTTTAATATTCACTTATAAAGCAATTAATGAAGTTTTTCTCAAACCTTTGGAATCAGTTTAAGATTGACGATTGTGGGCTGGGGATATATCTCCGGGGCACAAGTTCCTGCATGGCAAGCGAAAGGTCCAGAGTTTGATTTCCAGTACGGGTGGGGCGGGGGTGAAGAGGGATAATTGACCATTGGGTTCTTAAAGTACATTAACAGTGGTGTCTGTTAATTGTGGAAGTCCACTGCTGGGAATCTTCGGTGTTTGCAGCACAAAGCAGAACATCACTTGGAAGCCCCGGTACACACCATGTGTGCCATCGCATGCCTCTAAAGTGTGTGCAGTGAGATAAATGCAGCTGACTTTCTCCACTTTTAATTTTCACATGTGTATTTCACATGGGTGGAAGTTAAACTAGAATCTTTAGGCAGGAATTTGGTTGATTTAATGTCCATACTTTGTCATCTAGAGGGAAGATTTAGAAGAGCAAGAATGTTGCTAAGCATTCTTACTCTGTTGATAGAAACAGGAAATACTATGGTTTTTTGCAAAGTAGCTACACACATACATGGAAATTTTACAGTCTAGAAGTTTTAGTCCAAGAGTATATCCTTTACAAGTACAAATGTGTAAAAACATTTAGCATGTGTTGTTTAATGTGCATCCATTTCTTTTAAGCACCCAGGAAGACTATTTCCAAGATGTCTTTGCAGTTAGAGTAGAACTACAGGATTCGGTGTAAGCCAGTGAGATCTTGGTAGACGTGCTAAGTCATAGCCAGTCTTGACCATTAGTCATATCTTGCCATCTGCCAAGGTCTGTCCTATCCTTAGTGTAGAAATGAAGAACTCTGTAAAATAATCAAAAGGTGGATCATTGAAATTACTACTGGAAGCAAATTCCCCACAAGAGTATGACTTGCACTGAATACAAGTGAGCTGGACACCAATGTTTATTATGAACTGGTGAGATTATTGAGTTTGTTACTCAACAAACATATTTAAGGGAACATAAATTGAGTAGCATACAATGCGTGTGTGGAGATCCTTGTGCATTTCCAGTTGCAAAAACAGATACCTGTCAATATGGAAATGGTTGAAAATTTTGGTATACCATACAGATAGAAGCAGGATATTTTCCTCTCAAATATTTTCAATACATATGTTTTATAAAATGATGCAAGAATGCATTCATATATTCATTGAATAGGTAAAAAAGGTATGGAAGCACACACTAGTTTGTAAACTGGTAGGGAGGGGGAAACGAAAGTTTGAAGTTCTTAATGTATTAAAAAAACTGATAGTTTTAAAAAAACACTGGAAAATAGGCGAAAATTTTTGTTTTTAAGTTTTGAAATGTTAGCTGGGCTTGGTGGCGCACGCCTATAATCCCAGCACTTGGGAAGCTGAGGCAGGAGGATCATTGCGAGTTCGAGACTATCCTCGGCTACAAAGTGAGCTCAAGGCCAGCCTGAACTGCATAGCAAGACCCTGACTCAAAAAGGCCAAAAAAAAAAAAAAAAAAAATTTTTTTTTGGAAAGTTCTTAAAATATAGTTTTATTTTAAAGAAACAAATGTATAGTGTTTATGAAACAGAATTTCTTACGAGATACTTCCTAACTGGTATACACAAACCCTAAATTCTACATCACACTTAAGTCCTGGCTGTGCTATAGAAACTGACTCAGCTAGTTTTAACATTTTGGCTGAGAAGTCAAGGAAACTTTATTTCTTCCTCTTCTATTCTCCATATTAAAAACTCACCCTCCTCACTCCTGTCAGCATTTCTGCTGGTCTCCTCACCCTCCTCACTCCTGTCAGCATTTCTGCTGGTCTCCTGTGTGAGTATGCTTTCTTTTTTGTTGTCAGCTAGGCAGCACACTTCCATGGAGTCAGAATCTGCCAGCAGCTATCCACCTGTGTATTCTGGTTCTCACCAGCTTGATGCATGAGCTGACTGCCCATTTGTGTTTAATTGCTACAGACGTGCTCCTGCCCACCCTATGAATAGGCGGGCACCTGATTGTTTCTAGAATTAGGGGAACCAAAGTCCTCATCTCTTTTTCATCTGTAGTATACTAGCCTCCTTTTACTTTTGGAAATAACAGAAACTTCTGCCTTTTAAACTCTGCAAGGTCCCTCTACCCCCCACTCACCTCAGTTTAACATCTTTCCTCTTTGCATTTCTAGGTATAAGGTCATATGTAAAAGACCAGAGTTAGCCGCTGGCTTAAAAACTTGGTGATAGATTTGAAATAACTGTGTGCATCTTTTAAATTTAAAAACAAAATTTTTCATGATATAGTTTTATACTGTTTTCATTGCAAATATCTGCTTTTGCTTTTTAAAAGCTTAAAATCAGCTCACTGGGCTGGCCTAGGAATTGACCACTGTTTATATCAGTCCCCCACTACAAATGTATTTATTATGTATCAGAAAGATACCAATTTTATAAAGGGAAAATTAATATTTCTGTAGAAAATGTGTCTCACATTTTAAACATTAGACTAAATATAAATTTTTGTTTGGGTTTTTTTTTTTTTTTTTGGTTTTTCTCCAGTACCGGGAACCGAACTCACGACCTTGCGCTTGCCAGGCAGGCGCTTTGCCGCTGAGCTAAATCCCCAGCCCAATATAAATTTTTGGAAAACTCTCGAGTTGAAAAATGTATTACTGAACCTTTTGTTTTTAAATGTAAATTACCCCTTAGTTCATCAAGCAACATCCAAGTATTCTTCATATATTCTACCATGATAAACTTAACATAAACATCAGATTTACTTGGCGAGTCATGTTTCTTCAAAAAGGATTGAAATCAACATTGGTTCATTAAGGCTGATTGGTGCCTTATTTTTTAAAAAGTTCTTAAGCAGAATTATCTCAAAAAGTATTTTGAACTTGACATTTTTAAACAATCTTTTAGAGGTTTTAGATTTATAGAAAGATTGTATAGATAATTTCTCTATGTCCCATACCCCGTTTTCTATATTATAGTATTGATATCTTGGGGCTGGGGATTTAGCTCAGCAGCACAGCTCCTGCCTGGCAAGTGCAAGGTTGTGAGTTCGATTCCCAGTACTAGGGGAAAAAAAAAGTATTGATATCTTACGTGGTACATTTTTTTTATAATTAATGAACCAGTATTGATATATGTATTAAATTTGTTTTACCTAATATCCTTTTTCTATTGTAGACCCATCTAGGAAAGCACGTTACATCTCCTTCAATTTCTCTTGACTTTGTCAGTTTCTCAGATTTCATGTCTTTTGCTAACTCAGTTCTGATGAGTACTGGGTAGGTATACTGTAGGATGCCCTCAACTGGAATTTGTTGTTTATATAGGTTGGGGCTATGGGGTTCAGGGAGGAAGATCACAAAGGTAAGGGCCATTGCTTTTTTACATTCTCTAGGTTTAGATCATACAGCTTTATAGTTTAGATCTCAAATGTCCCCCAAACTTTTCATGTGTGTGGAAGGTGATTGGATCATGGGGGCACCAGTAGGTTCTTCCACTGATGAATAGCTAAATGTACTGTTAAGAGGTGGGGCCTGAGTAGTCTTTTTCCCTGGTTTCCCCTTTTGTTCTCTGCTTCCTGGCCACCATGATCTTATAGCAGAAAATGCTGTTCCCCCAGCCAGAATACTTCATTTGCCCATGGACAATTCCTGCTGCAGTTCCAGTTGCTTCTGTTTCTTAGAAATGGCTGGTCACTATGATGCCTATTGTAGGAGCCAAAGAAAGCCAAGTACTCTACCTCTGTACCTCCCCTTTAGACCCCATAAAAACCTCCCTCTCTGAGCCTTCAGGGCCTGACATTTTGAGGGACAATTGATTCCCTGTCAGTGCCCATCTGACATTAAATGAATCTACCCCCAAATCCTGGGTGTTGTTTGGTGTTTCTGTTTGCCGTAGCAATCTGAGAAGCTTTCCTCTGCTTGGGCCCTTCCACCATGCCATTTCTGCTTTGGAGCCGGTCCACCGTGGACTGAAATGTCTGAAACTGTGAGCCAAAATAAACTTCATATTTACATTCTGGATGTTGAGTATTTTGTCCCAGCAAGGAGAAAGTGATTAAGACAGTTACAGAGCAGCAACATGATTCGTGACATGCTGACCTTGATAACCTCCCAGAAATAGTGTTTGTCAGGTCTCCACTGTATAATTACTGTTTTTTTTTTTTTTTCAACATAATGGTGAATACATGTGTCTGTATATAGACACTTACTTAAAAAATAAAGAATAAGAAGCAAAATTGTGGCTAGTGGTTACCATAACGCTATAAGGTAGGCAGAAGATGTGGGCAGGATAGAAGAGGAGCCCATAGTAGATATAAATTACTTGTAATGTTCAAGTCTTTTGGTAGGATGATGGTTTTGTGGTATTTATTACATCATTAAGTAAAAATAAATTTATAAAATATGAGGGCTATGTTTAGACAATGATGAAAATAAGGTCCATGATTAAATAATCCAGTATCCAGTTCTGTGCTTCTGAAGTTAAAACTACAAAACTAAGTATTATAATTAAGGGGATCCAGTGGGTCTATACAGTGTCTGGGGTATAGCTGTGTAAGACAAGAAACTCAGGGAGGCCAAATGGTCTTGCCTCAGGACCAATAATCCAGTCTCACCATTATGGCTTGTGTTTAGATGTTCCCCTGAAGCCTCATGTGGTTGTAGGTGGGGATTTTTCAGAGGTGGCTGGATTTAGAGTATGTGACAGCTAGAATTGATTCATGGTGCAATGCTAGAATTAAAGAGTGCTGGGATGAAGAATTATCTAAGGGTGGGTAGCCTGGATAAAATATAAAGGACAGAAAGAGTTGTGGTTGTCCCTTGTTGCTTTTGCTGTCTTTTATGTGCAATGAACTCTCTTCCCTCTGCAAAGCCCCTCTGCCATGTGCCACTCTTTCTTGGAGCCAGCCAACTATACACTGAAACCTCCATGAACTGTAAGCCAAATAAACTTTTCCTTCTTTAACTTTGGGTGTTGGGGATTTTGTCTCAGCAGTGAAAAAAGTAACTAAGACACTCATCAAATTTGGTGAAGATTGGTACATGCCTCAAGATTTCTATTTATTAATTTATACTGAAAAATACAATGACCAACTAGACTATAATGGTTGTACTTTATTCAGTCACTCATTAAATATTTATTGAACATGTCCTACGTGCCAAACACTTTGGTAATCATTTGGGGTAGATATGGTGAAATAAAAATTTCATAGAATTTATTATCTATTGGGAAAATCAAACATTTAATAATTTATAATAATGGAGATAGGTTGATCAGCCTATTAACTTCTTTTGTACATCATGGTAGGATGGAAATCTTATCCATCTTGAATACTGAGCAAATTGAGTTAGCTACATACATTGGCCAAGAAGTCTTCACCATGCATCCTTTCAGAATTTCATTGTTGCTATGGATAAGTGACTGCTGGGTTTACCAACTTTCTTTCTGCAAATGGGAGATTTACTTGTATTGTATTATCTTGTGTCCCTGCTCCACAAGTGTTCATTGAGTTGTAAGTGATGGGCAGATACACTGATTTTTAGTTCCTTGATTGGTGTATTAAAAGGATCTATGTTTGGGTTTGTTGTTGTTGAGGTATTCTTGCAATATAGCCCAAGCTGAGCTTGAACTTGTGATCTCCTGCCTCAGCCTCCTGAGTGCTAAGATTAGAGTCATGCATGACTATGCCCAGTTGTACATTTGGATATGATGGAAACAACTGTACATCAAATGGAAAACCTGAACTTTGATGTGGTATTTTCCATGTGTTTGCTACATGGAAAGAGGGATGTCATGGATATTTTGGAGGCCAGAGTATAGTCTGGCAGAAATGGCCAGCTGCTTTTTCAGTTGGAAAATATTGATAACAACTCCTAAGTGTTGCTGTAAAAATTTAATGTTTCATGTAAAACATAAGAAACACTGAAAATAAGTTAACGTTCCTTGAGGGACGCATGTCTGAAGAATGTTCAATGAACATGAAATCAGAGAATGAGGAATTATGTGAGCCTCTTGCTGCCATCTGAATAACAAAAATATGTATCTACCCCACTTGCCCATGTATACCTGCCAACAGGCCAGTTTAATCTGTCTTATACTTTGTAGTGCTGTATTGCCTTTTTCTCAGATTTTGGCTCTCATTTTCTAATATTAACTGCTTTCTTTTTTCTCCCCAGACACATTATAGTTCATTACTCACTTCTTTCTTCTTCCTGTATGACTCATCTGAAAAGTTTATGGGAGTAATACACACAAAGTTAGAAAAATATTGAAAAAATGAGGATACATTAAACATATCAGTAGGAAAATAGAATATACAAGATGAGCTCAGTGCAGAAAAATATATGCATAAGGTAACCATTCTCTACAGTGGATTTTGTTGGATTGCAAATTTGAGTTTTTGAAACTTAAAAAAGTACCTCAAACATTTTTAGAGTCACTGTAGAGTGAAAGCAAAGATATGGCTCAAAATAAGCGTAATTTATTGAAGGAAGTGTTATGAATTTTGCTCGTGGGCTCTGCCTAATATAGTAGGTACTCTATAGTGGGTCAGACATTATCATGAACAATATTCTGACACCAGATAAGAGTTTATCAATGATTCCTAACATTGACTACAATGTAATCAAAATCAGAAGTTATAATTAAAACTAGTAAAAATCCTTGAGTTATAATGATTAGGGAATCTCTAAATTTTATTAGTAATGCTTTTACATACCATTTCTTATGTTGGCATGCAAACTAATCCTTAAGTGATTCTTTTTAAAAATAGAGGAATATGTTGGAGGTCTGCAATAGCTGGTTGTGTCAACCTGAATAAGTAATGCCCAACTAAATTGGCTCAGCATAGTTCTGGGTGTGGAAGACCCACCCTAGGGAGGATTAGTGCCAGAATGCTATAAAGGGGAAACAGAGAAGGAAAGATTGTTTCTGTTTTCTGCAGAGGAGCTCATCTGTTCCTTCACCATGGACATCGGTCCTGGTTCCAATGCACTCATCAGCTTGCAGCACCGGTCTGTCAACCTTCTGGTGCAGACCCTTCAGCCTCCTGATAAGACTCACACCGGAAACTACACGGACCTTCAGATCTTCAACTGGATCCTTCAGATCCCCAGTGTGCGGATAGCCCTTCTGCACTCTTCCACACCTGACTCTGTGGACTGCTGTTGTAAGCTAGTCTTGTAAATTCTTGTATATTTGTATATTTTGTATTATATCTGTTTCTCTAGTAAGCACTGACTGATACAAGGTCCTTAAACTGAGATCAGTGTCAGTTTTGGTGTTTCATTAGTAGAGGTCTTGGGACTCAGCATATAGTCCTGTTCATGGCCATGAGTATCATTTATTACAGTGAAAGAATACAAATCAGGTTCAGTGAAAGGAAAAGGCCCAGTCAGAAGTCAAATAGAGATGAGATGCAGGCTTCGATGAGTCCTCTCAGAAGGGTTACAAAGAACACACATTACTTAATTCTTTGAGCTGTAAGTTGTGTTGAGATTTTTGAAATTTGCAAACCACATTTGTTAGAGATTCAGCTTCTTTCTTGGGGGCTGGTCATATAGCCACATTGTGCCCAGTGTGTACCCAAATTTTAGACTCTCAGAAAACCAGATGTTTACTTAAATTATATTTTTTATACAAACAGTTTAGGGACAGTGAGACACTGACATTAGTGAAAATTTTGAACCTTTTAGAAATCAAAATTTCCAGAAGCAAGCCAAGGACCAACTTTGTAAGCAGACATTTTCAAGGATAAGTAGTCAGAACTGTTGTTCTGTCTCTGTGCTGTTAACTCTTCAGTACAGGGACAATTAAATGATTAAACTTGGAGGTACTTGGTATATACTTTCCAAAGAAATTAATTACCTAAATTACTATACCTGATTTTGTGCTATTATGTTAATACTTCATTAATTTGAATTAATGATGCTAAGCCCATACACTACTATATGAGCTTAGATTATATACTACTATACTTCTCAAGAACTTCAGAATTAAACATTAAAAATTTTCAACTTTGAATAAGATACTGGTTATGTGTGCCATCAATTAAATGAAATTTTAATATTTCATGTGACGTTGTCAAACGAATGTCATGATTTTACTAGGGCCCACATATTGTTATTTGTGTGTGTGTGTGTGTGTGTGTGTGTGTGTGTTCGTTCCTGGTAATAAGGCCTCACACATAGAGTAAACACTATTTCCGAACTACCCCCAGCTCCTAGGACCTGTATTTATTGAGGGAGACAGATATTGCAGCTGCTGATTTAACTACCATTTCATAGCACACAAAAATACTGAGTATAATGGATTACATATCGTGATGGACTTGATCTTGATTTATGTTCTCTTGAATTGCAAGTGCTCTCGGGGAAAGAAGCTATTAATCTTAGGCTGGTTATTATTTCAGCATAAGAAGAACATTTATTAAAGAAAAGCACTTTCAGGTCTTACTGTATTTCACATTCCTATGCCAAAGGAAAGGGCAAAATTATTTATTATGCAATTAAAGAACTGTTATTATCAAGAAAATAACTGCAGGATGTAGGGAGCTTCCAGATTCTTAGCCAGATGACTCAGGCAACAAGTCTGAGGAATTCAGACACAAGTTGATATTCTGGCCCATTGGAATCTGAATTTCAATGATGAAGCTTTAAGAAGCAGGCCTTGTTACTTTCTCCTTTTCATATACACAACTGATGTCACACACTGCAGAAGGAGCCCAATTTAGATAATTGAGAAAGGGATATTTTTTATTTCTAGCTGAAAGTGCTTCCCCTATGGGGAAAAACTTGCTTTCTAATACAGGCATCATTCAGTTGTAGGCTTAGTGCCTACTCTGTACCAAATGTATTTCAGGAGACAGGGACAGTGAAATGAATGAACCTGACTGCTCTTGAGGACCTAAGATTTTTGTGCCCATGATTTTCAGCAGTAGAGTTACTAGTGGTCGCCTGGAGATCTTGTTCATACCTACAGTGTTTATGTAGTATTCACTGTGTGACAGGCACTGTTCTAAGTCCTTTATAGGTATTAATTTTATCATAATAGCCCTATAAAGTAGGTTCTGTTACCATCCTGTGAAAACCAAGGTGAAAAAATGTTATGTGCTTAGGGTCAAAACTTAATGAATGCTTACTCCATCTGATTTTAGAAGCAGCTCTTATCTACTAAGCAATATTTACAGAAAGCCATTTATATTTAACAGTCAAAAATATTAAATATATTTTATAAGCCTGATAAGCCTCAGTAGGAGCTAGAAATTTCCGTGAGCATATGAAGAAATTAATGTGTCTACTACTTGAATCCATAAAGTTGACCACCCCTCTGTTAAGTCTTAGAGCCCACGACACAGTGAGTTTTAAAATAACACTTAAGTTAAATGTGTTTCTTGTATACTTATAAGTGAAATAAATCAGACCTGCATGTGTAAACATTGTATTGTCTCCCTAGTGTAAGAACCTGAAAGAGTAAATAAAATCTGAAAGGTACAATAGATATTCTGAAAGGGAAACTGCTCAAAAGGGTAGACCAACTGGGATGTGGGAAAGGAGAAAAGAAAGAAAGAAGGAAGGAAAAAATATATATACATACACAAGATAGCTAAGATAACTGTATTACTAATTTCTATTGGTTTATTGAAAGGAACAGTTAATGCTTCATTTTTTGACCAATTTGCATGCTCATATCTGGAATCTGAACAACTACTTTGAAGACGACAATATGCAATATAACAACCATTGTTGAATTCCTATCATCGTTTTTTTAAAATTCTGTATCATTTCTAATTTTTTAATTTTTATTCTCTTTAAAATAAAAAATAGCACTTAATAAAATAGTACTATGAAGTTAATCTGGTAGGTTTGCTGACAGCAACTCAGGCAGTGCTTACATCAGAAGTCTGTCTAATTAACTGCAGCAGCAGTTGTTTTCCACACAGTTGGCAAGCACAGTTAAGTGAGATAGTAACTATCTTCTGGTGAATACACATTTTTTTTCCTTCTTGGAAGATTTTAAAGTGAGTATAAAAATATTAAGAAAATCTTAACCGTAGTACTGATAATTTTAAGATCAAAATCTTAAAGAAATAGTTGCACTCCCATGGTCATTGTAGCATTCTTCACAGGAGCCAAGATGTAGAAATAACTCAAATGTCCATTGACAGATGAATGGAGAAAGGAAAAAAAACAGTGAATACCTACAGTGAAATATTATATAGCCTTAAAAGGAAGGAACTCCTGCCATATGTGACAACATGGATGGACCTTGAGGACATTATACCAAGTGAAGCAAGCCAGTCATATAAAAAGACAAATAATGCATGATTCCACTTATACCAGGCATCTAAGATAGTCAAACACATAAAAACATTTCACAGTGGTTTCTAGTTGCTGAGGGGAGGTAGAAATGGGAAATTGCTGGTCAGTATGTTGTTTCAGTTATACAAGATGATTAAGTTACAGAGATGGGTTCTACAATCAGGCCTAAACTGGACAAGATGGAGCACATACCTGACATCGCAGTACTCAGGGCGTTGAGGCCAGAGTTGGAGACCAGCCTGGCCTATGTAGCGAGTTTGAAGGAAGCCTGTAATACATAGTGAGATCCCCCCAAACAAAAACAAAGCAAAATTTTTAAAAATGGGGTCTATAGGTAAAAATGCTATATTATAAATGGTTGAGGAATAATACTGTACTGTACACTTAAAAACATAAGAGGGTAGCTCTTATGTTAAGTGTTCTTAACACAATTAAAACAGACACCAGTACTACTGTACCTCCCAGATGTGTAAGATACCAGCTTTGTTTGGCTAGGCCACCATTTGCCTATTCTCTGCAATCAGATGCCTCAGTCCAGACTTCAGATCACAAGGCACTGACATAACAATGATCTAGTACCGGAGGAAAATCATGGTTTCTTATTATTTTGCCAAACACCAAAATTACACTAATACTTTTAAAAGAAATATTCAAAATCCAAGCAGTAACAAATACTGTCTGGAGGGCTGGGGGTATAGTTTAGTGGTATGCATGAGACCCTGTGTTCAGTCACAGCATTACAAAAACAAAACAAGAAGATAGTAGAACTAAATATTTAAAATACAAAAATGTATGAGCTATTAAACACTAAATAAAGGATACATCATACAAATATAAATATTCTGTAAGGTGAATCATTTACAGATATAATTAATACAACAAAACAGTATGTTAAAAATCCACAGGCTATGTGAAATGAGGAAAAGTTTCTCACAAATTGAGTATAAAATAATATTTAACTTTTAAAAGGGAACCCTAAGAAAGAAAATGTGTCAATGGTACCATTATAGAATTGTCATTGTATTTTTTTTTGTTTTGTTTTGTTTTTTTGGGTTTTTCTCCGGTACCGGGAACCGAACTCACGGCCTTGCACTTGCCAGGCAGGTGCTTTTGCCGCTGAGCTAAGTCCCCAGCCCCTGTCATTGTATTTTTATACGAAAATTTTCTGCTGCTATTTCAAATTGGTTTGACTTCCTACTTACTAGTGGGCCAAATGGTAAGGAGAGATACTTGTGGTTCTTTACCGCCAAATCATGTCCTTATGAAGCTTTTTTCTTCCTATTCCAAACTTTTCATTTTACTTTATTATTTTAGCAGCGTATTTTTAACTTGATCTTTCTTTCACTTATGTAACTGAATGTTTTGAGACAGAGTTACTTGAGTCACTTTTAGAATGGCCATTTGCTCCAAAAGTCTCTCAATATTTGTGAGAATTGTTTTTGTAACAGAAACATTATCAAGTGTCATTTTCTATTCCCTCTTGAATATTATGGTGGTTTAAAAAACTATTTTTACATTGTTCAAAAGTATTTCATCATAAGTTGAGTAATTATGGCATCAATCTTTATCTCTAGCCATAAATCATTCATATTTCAGATTTTTAAAAAGATACAAAATATCGGCCACTTAAGGACTGTCTCTTGGCCTGGTCTGTCTGTCCACAAAGAGCCTTGTGACTTCATTTAGTTGTCCTCTTGGGCAGTTCTCACAAGTTATGCTGTGGTTTCAGTCAGCCCCCGCCCCCAGCTTTCACTGGCTTAAAACAACAAAATAATTAAATCATGTTAAGTATCTCTCTGGTCAGTTCTGCCTCTGTTTCATGTTATCATTCCAAGAACAGCTGCCATCATAGAAGTGTAGGTTCAGTGGTATATGAGAAAGAGGGACGGTAAATCCACTCTGTGCCTGTTCTAGCTTCTGTTAGGATGTAGTAGACATCACTTCTACTCATATGCCATTACACAGGAAGTCATACTTCTGTGCTCAGTGACAATGGAGCGGGATAGTGTCATACCTCTGCAGGGAGGAGAAAACATTTTTAACAATTATGCAGTTTACTCCAAATCTCTTGCACACAATTTCAGAGCTACTCTTTGGTCCTGGAGGTCTTCAGAACTTTTTGCCTTCTTTACTTTTCAGATTTCAGATTTCAGGATTATAACTTACAGATAGCCCCTCTGCTTTGCTTGCTTAGGCCCTCTGTTTCTCCTTCAGGCCATAGTTAACCCTTGTAGGGTTCAGGGAATAAGACAGAGTATCATTATGTAGCTGAGGCTGGCTTTGAATCATTCTCCCAAGTGCTGGATTATAGCATGTATCACCACACCTGCCCGACTTTGGATCCAGTTATTAGAGATAAATCATAAAGAAGAGCTGGAGCTTTATAATAAAGATTCCAGCAAGGGAAAGGAAAGAAAGAGAGATAAAATAAAGAGGGGGATTGTAAGGAGAACCAAGACCTGGTTCCAATAAATAAATACCTTGAAATAATAGTATCACTACAGAGCATCTATAGATTAGAACTTTGAAATCTTACAGTAAGCTGGGCTCCCTCCACCCCAAGTGTTTTGAGATCACTAGATGCAAGGACACAAACCTCTGTTGTATTCATTCTCACAAGGCTAATACAGAAGCAGTTATATCTAAATTTTCCAGGTGGTAGTGACAAAAGCCCTAGAAGTGCCTCCTGTGAATTCTACTTATAGTTAACAGTGTTCCCTAAACAAATTGTAGTGTATGAGCAGCAGCAGACTAACAGTAGCTTCCTGAGACAAGCGGAAACTCTTTTAGGCATTGTTCTTGCTGCTGTAACTTTCAACTCTGACTCTGTCTTTCTCTTTTACAACTTGTGAGCTATGCAATAGCTACTCATAAATTCTCTTTTTGCTTAAATAGGTAAGTTTGTTTCTGTTGCTTCCATCTTAGCACACTGTCTGATACAGAAACTGAGGCCTGGTGGTCTCTTGTTCATAATTTAATGGCAGATGAACAATGTTCTGGAATAAGAGTATGAGCAATGTTCCACTGAGCTCATTCAGAGGGTGATGAAGGGCATTGAATGTCCTTAGGAAAACGGGAAACAATCAGTGGATGTGTGCATGACAGAAGAGCTGCATTAAAGGCCCTGCTAATGCTGGCAGTTGTGAAGAAACTGCCTAATTATGCATCCCCTGGAAAATTTTAATGTTATCTCCTACAGCGTGAATCAGTTTCTTAAAAGATTGCAGGAGTTAAAAACTTGGAATCATCAGCACAATAAAATCAGCATTTTAAAAGTCAATGAATTTGGCAACAGTCATAAGAGTAGATGAGGATAGAGAAATTGTTTAATGCCTGGGATGCTTTTCTAGGGTGGTTCAATCTCCAGTATGGAAAAAAACAAAACGAAAAGAAAAGTCACCTCAGCATTTGCCCCTGTAAGTCTTAGTTGATTCATCCTGTGTTGAAAACCAGTCATCATTCTCTATTTTTCAGAGTTTATATTATGGGCAAGAAAAGGTACTATATACCTTCAGGTGACTCGATACAGGTATATGAAATAAATCAAAACTACAATCTCTTTTGAGACTTCTTTCTCCACGTGATCTGAATGATGAATTTTTTTTTTAATGAGAAAAGTTGTCAGTAGATCAGCACAGGACTGTTGGTATACACAGGCATGGTATTAGGATTCATCACATGGATTTAAAAATTCCAAAAGTAAAATGACAGCCCCTATCATATAACTTTATATGCCAAAGTCTCATTATAGTGTATGAATTCTTTAGAGATATGATTTGCTGGGACAGGAAAAACACAAAATAGGCTTAGAATATCTTGTAATACTAGAGACCAAAGAAATACTAAAAAAAAGGTGAAAGAAACAGCGGGATGTGTGAAAAGACACGGGAGTCAACCTGAAAGACCTCCCAAAGGCCAAAGCTGGAACAATTTCAGCAACAAATAACATGACATTGGATCACAGTCCAAACTACAAAGTAAATTTTCATGAAACTATAGTGATATAAATAAATAATTGAATAAATAAATCACTTGGGGAGAAAGTACAAATTTCTCTTAAAGATTTCCAAATAATGTGTGTTGACATTCTTTTCTCTCCAGGGGATTGAGTTTAATCTCCATTCCCCACCTCTGAGCATGACTGCATTTAGTGACTCCACTGAAAAATAAAATACGGAAAGGGAAAAATAGTAATTTCAAAGCAGAAGCCTGTGATAAACACTTTTAACCAAAAGATCAAAGTTAACATCAGCAGCAATAAGTAATGTTATATGATATATTCTCTAATATTAAGTAATGAGAAGAAATCAATACTCTGGAGAAATGATGGCTTCATAGTCTGTGATAGGAAAGATGAACATATGGTCAAAGCAACCACTGGAGAAGAAATCCAGTTGCCTCTGCCCTAAGAAGCCCCCTGGGCCATGCCCTGAATGCAAAGGTGACCACTGGAGATTGGTCTGCCCTCTGAAGCGGAGGCCCCAGAGCTCAGACCTAACCTACCAGTTAATCCAACAGGAATAAGGGGGCCCAGGGAATACTCTGCTTTCTCCCTCTGGCCAGACTGTCATCTCCATGGAGGAGCCCGGGGTAATCATGACTATAGAGGAAAAAGAAAACAGCCTGTTGCTAGACACAGGTGCAAGTCTCTTGGTCCTTCTTTTCAATCCTGACCTTCCTTCTAGCCGTCACACCTCAGTGAAAGGAGTCACTGGTGAGGAGGCAGTATACTATTTTTGACAACCCTTAGGCTGTAACTACTTGTTAGATCTTTCTTGCCTATCTCTGTCTTCCCGAGAAACCACTTTGAAGATACCACCAGGTATTACAGCAGCCATTGATATTTTCCTACTAATCTTTCCATAACTCTGTAATGTTTGTATTGTTCCTATGCTATTTTGTAAATGGATGTATGTTTATTACTATGTGTTTCCTATAACCATTGAGAATAGTCAATGATTATTCAGTTGGTCACTCATGTATAGCTCTATTTATTTCCTTTAGAAACCACTTTGAAGATACCAAAGTATAGTACAACAACCATTGATAATCTTCTACCACTTTTGTCTGTACACTATTATTTGTCTATTTGTTTTCCTGAGAAACTATCTTGTAGATAACAATATGTAAAACAACAACCATTGATAATTTCCTACCACTTTGTCTGTAATTCGGTAAGCCCCCCTATTACTATGTTATCCTTCTTAAAAAAAAAAAAATCCAGTTGCCTAAAGATGGGATAATTTGAGCACCAGTAAGGATAATAATTTTAATGAGCTAAAATATATGAAATATATTTGTAGTACATCTAGAGTTTATAGTAATAATACTGTGTGTATAGTTCATAATAGTAAGTAACTATTAATAACTTGGTTGTAGAAATGGTGATTTTGTTCATTTTAAAAATTGCCTTTAGCTTTGAGAGATACTGAAATATTTATGGAAAAAATTATATGATCTCTGGAATTTGTCTTACAATCATATAGGATGAAAGAAAAGAGAGCAGGAATATAACTGCACCAACACTGGCCAGAAGTTGATTGATGAATACATGAAGTTCATTATAAGATTCTGTCTACTTTTATGTATGTTTACATTTTTCATAATGATAATAAATTTTTGGAAGTTCTGATGAATTAATGGACCAATAAATGATCATCAGTGGTGCCAAACAATATGTCCCTCCTGAAAAGTATACAACATTACCATGAAATGTTTATGTCAAAAAACCAAACCCAAAAAACTCTACCTTGAATCTGATCAAGATTTTAGACTGTGCTTTCCGGTACTATAGCCACTAGATATACATGGCTATTTAAATGTAAATAAACAAATTTCAGTGAAGTAAAATTAACAATTCATTATCTCAGCTGTACAAATAACATTTTCAGTGTTCATTGGCATATGTAGATAGTGGATATTGCATTGAACAGTGTACAGAACATTTCTATTGTGGCAGAAAGTTATATTGGTATTCACTGTGCTAATTTCTGTGAAATATAAGTACAGAGTAATTGTATTAAATGACACCACAGGGATGCAATTACCAAAATCCAGACTGTGACAGTTAAATTTCTAATTTAAAAAAATGCAAGAAACATGATGTGGAGGCAAATCAATGGATTTAAAGAGAACTGAGAAGTATTTTCACCTATTGCAACATGTGGACTTTATTTAATTTGTGATTCAGGCATACTGCAGAAGAAATTGGATGACAACAATAAATATGTAAATAGTAGTTGGATATTTATGATACTATTATTTCCATCCCAGCACTCTGGGAGGCTGAGGTAGGAGGATCGCAAGTCAAAGCCCAGACTTGAGAATTTAGCAATTTAACGATACCCTGTTGAAAGGAAGAAAGAGACAAAAGAAGAAAGGAAAGAAAGAAGGAAAGAGAGAGAAAGAGAAAGAAAAATATATAAAGAAAGAAAGAAAGAGAGAAAGAGAAAGGCAGGCAGATAGACAAATAGGCAGGGGAGCATGCAGGCTAGGAATGTAACTTAGTATTAATGCCATGGATTAAATCCAGTACTGCAAAAAACGAAAAAAGTTATTTTTGGTTGTGACAACTGTATTATGATCTTTTAAAGAAATACTTCACTAGTTATAGCTGCAATTGCCTGATAAATGGTATTTACTTGAAAATAATTGGGGTAAAGTAAAAATGATTAGAGGTATAGCTAGTCATCTACCAATAATTGTTATAGTTGGGTAATGGGTATATATTGAGTTCACTATACTACTGTGTTTTTTGTATGAAAATGTCTATAAGGATTTTTTTAAAATTTTGGCAATTTACTATGTCTTATGAAAAACCAAAAGACGTTAGCCTTTTTAGTTTACAAATATATTTGTTCATATTCCAAGATGAGATATGAAGATACATCATAGAACAATTTTGATCATGCAGCTGGGCTAAAATCATACCCACTGCTATAATTGATGGTACTTTTTATATTTCAGCTGGTGATATATGAATCCGTAAACAGCTTGCTCCATAATTATACTGGCAGTAAAAGATGCTTGTTTGACTGTAACAAATTTCCCAAAGTAGTTTCATACTCAAAAAATTTGGCAACACTAATTTGACTAACATCTTTAAAACCTTTTTAATTGAGAAAAAGAGATGACAGAGGGATGAGGTAGAATGAACATAATAATCTAGACATGAAGGAAAGCTCTCTCAAGTCATGATGTATATTTGAGGGTAGGACTTATGATTCAACTACAGGTGAAACATGAATAAAGCTACAAAAAACCAAAATCACATGGTCATCTTTTTAAAAAAATGCCTTGTTATAAATGATGTGCTCCTTGTTAAGATTTCAAACACTCTCATTTGTAAATAAACAAAAAAGGAGAAAGAAAGAAGGAAGAGGAAGAAAGAAAGAAAGTTCTTAACATCAGTTTAAGAGAGTACACACGCAGTGGATTGGCAGAATGTTTTCTAGGGCTACACAGTATTTTAATCATTAATATATGATTCTCTCAAAAAATCAGAAGACCCAGAAACAATGTGTCTACATTTTCCAGTGCCCAAAACAGCTAGAGCTGAGTAGGAACTCCTCCCTTTAAGATGGAGTTTCACTTCTATCCACATGCACAAATGTACACACGCACATGGCAAATGCCTCACACTTGTGGCATCTAGCTTCTTTCATCGTTTAGTCTCTAAAAGCGTTTGAATTTGGGACCCCTATTATAGTCAGTGTAATAAGGTACTGTACTTCATTTTTTTATACGTCCTACACATTAGGAAATTTCAGTCATTTCAAACTTGATTAGTGTTAAGCACAGACAATAGTATTAGAATAAAATCAGGTCCATGCTCTGTATGTTTCACCTTAGTGCTGCCATGCTGTTTTATGTTACATTAACATGTTTTATAGAAATAATTCTTTTGTGTTTATTTGTACTCTTTCTCGTTCTCTCAGTTTTTATTGGTAAGCTTTGTATTTTTGCTTGCATGGCTGCTCATACACTAATATCTCTATGTCATATTCTCAGTAATTTTTCTACTCCTGGTGATGAGAAACATTGAAATTCACTAACAGTTTCTTCTTTACTCTTTTTCCATTCCCCACACCTCTGATCTGAAGTAGTATCTTTCAATTTTCTGGTAATAACTGTAAAGCAATTAACAAGCTTGATCTACTTTTAATTCCTGCATAATTCTCATCACTTTTCCCATGTTTTGATAGTTCCATATTATCAGAACATATAGCCAGTTCCATATTGTACTTTCCCCTTTAACTCCATTGTTGACTCTTAGTTCTCCAGGTCAATAAATATTTAATGCTCACACCAGTCCCTATGTTGATGTCTTCTGGTCATTTTGGTTGTTGGAGGTTCACTCTAGAAAATACAGAAAGGGGCATGGAAATAATATTTATTAATTTCTGGAATGTTCATCAGTTTCTCTGTGATCTTTATATACTTGTATGTCAGTATTCATGGGTGTAAATACCGCAGGTTGCATTTTCTTGTTTTGAGTGTGTTAAATATGTCAATCTATTATCTTCACCATGAAAGTTTGCTTTAAAAAGATCTGATGATAATTTATCATTTCTCTTGAAGTGATTTTTTTGTTGAGATATAAAGAGTATTTAGAATCTTTCCTTAAAGGTCAATAGTTTTACTAAAATATGTGTTGGTTTATGTCTCCAGGAGTAACATGTTCTTTACAACATGTATTTTCAAGGTTTTTGTTTTTTTTTTTTTTTTAATTTCAGGAAAATTCCCTTGAATCCTAGGTTTTTATTCTTTGTTTTCTTCCACAGCTCTGCTTCACCCCACCTTAGATAGATCTAGTATACTTATATAGGATCTTTGACTCTCTTCTATAACCCCTCTCAAATTCTTTCTATATCTTTCTCCTCTTTTAAATTTTGTTAACATTTTCTCCTTTTAATCCTCTATTTCTGTTAAAACATCATTTGTTTTTATTTGCTCTTGTGTTTTTTATTCTTTATGCTTTTCAAAAAGCTTTTACAAATTCTGTCCTGAGTTCTCTGTTTTAACCCATAAACTATTTACTTGAAAAAAGCACATTTATGGATGAGAAAAATTCTAGGATGGAATAGGTAATGGTAAAGCTACTACTTCCATAATGAATGTTTACCAGATGCATATTATATCTAAAAGCCAAGGCACTTACACTTTTAATTAAATGTCTGGAGGTAAAGAAAGAACCAAAGACTGGGGTGAAATCCATAAAAATCATTCTCTAATGCCTTGTACATCGCTGAAGGTTGTTTTACTTCTATAACTAGAGACAAATTATTATTTACGTGAATCTTTCTCCCAATGAGACTGTTTAGAACAACGACAATAGCCATTCCAGAAGAGGTATCCCATTGATAAATATGGAAAAATATCAGAACACCAAAGAGAAGGTGACACATACTGGCATAAAAACAGACATGAGGTAATTGGAATAGAAAAGATGCACAAGCAACCATAAGCATATTCAACTTTTGATCTTTGCCAAAGGGATCAAAAACAGACACTGGGCAGATGATAGCCTCATTAATAAATGGTGTTGGGAAAAATGGCTGTCCATGTGCAGAAGATTGACTCTAGGTCTGTATCTCTCATCATGTACTAAAATAAGATCAAAATGAATCAAGGAACTAAATATTAAAACAGCAACATTTCACCTACTGGAAGATAAAATAGGTAAAACTCTGGAAGTCGAAGGCGTAGGCAAAGACTTCTTGACCAGAACCTTATTTGCACAGCAAATAGTATCGAGAATCAACAAATGGGATCATGTCAAATTAAAAAGTTTCTGCACAGAAAAGGGAACAATCGAGGGAAAAGACAGCCTACACGATGGGAAAAAATTTTTGCCAGGTATACCCCAGATAGAGGACCAATATCTAGAATATATAAATAACTAAAAAAAAGGCAAACCCTCAAAGTAAAAGATTCAATCAAAAAAATAGGCAAGTGAAATTAATAGATACTTCACAGAAGAAGAAGAACAAATGGCTAATAAATACAGGAAGAAATGCTTAACATTGCTGGCTATTACAGAAATGCAAATTAAAACAACAATTAGGTTCCATCTTACCCAAAAAAGAACGTCATCATGAAGAAATCAATTAATAACAAATGCTGGCCAGACTGCAGGACTGTTGTTGGGAATGTAAACTAGTACAACCATTATGGAAATAAGTGTAGAGATTCCTCAAAAAACTAAATATACAAATTCCATTTGACCCAGCTAGTCTTCTAAATACTATCTTCCTAAAAGATTCAAAGCCATCATATTACAGTGATACTTGCATACCCATATAGCAGCACAACTCATAATGGCTCAGTCTTGGAAGTAAACCGTATGTCCATCAGCCGATGAATGGAATAAAGAAAATGGGAGTATTTATATATATTGGAGTTCTACTCTGCCATAAAGATAAATCTGAGTCATTTATAGGAAAATGGATGCACCTTGAGACCATAATGGTAAGTGAAATAACTCAGACACACAAACTTAAATATCACATGATTTCTCTTATTTGAGGCCTAAATTATAACGAAAGAGCAAAATAAAAGATAGGTAATAGGAAGTAGAGAGAGCTTTTTCAAATGGGAACAGGATCAAGAGACAGAGGGTGGTCGTGGGAAGGGAAAGGGGATGACAAAAGGAATTAAAATGTGTAATATACTTGCACCAACTCCACATAAAGAATGTGAACATTGTGTACTGTGATCGCTAATAAAAGTAAAAATTAAAAAGAAGAGAAAGTGACAAGAGAACCTTGTTCTTCCAAATAGCAAACGGTTTCATATTAGTAGAGCAATGAAATAAAGTCTACCTCCGAAAGGCTTACTCCCAGTATTTGCTTTAGGCATTCATGCCAACTACGGCTTCTCACGCTTCGGGCATGATTTTTTTTTTTTTGAGATAGGGTCTCGCTATGCAGTTCAGGCTGGACTTGAGCTCACTTTGTAGCCCAGGCTGGTCTCGAGCTCGCAACGATTCTCCTGCCACAGCCTCCTAAGTGCTGAGATCACAGGCGTGCGCTGGGCATGATTTTTGGCCTCGCAAACTCACTGGCTTATTACAGTACTGGAAACTTATTTTGTAATCTCCATCATGGATTTCAACACTGTGAGATATTTGGATAGGTAGATCTCCCGATCATTTTAGACATCATTTTTTTGTTGGCAACTTTTTTTTTTTTTTTTGTACCTGGAATCAAACTCACGACCTCGCACTTCCCAGGCAGGCACTGTTCCGCTGACTGTATCCCCAGCGTTTTGTTGGCAACTTTGAATATAGGGATCACTTTCTGCATGTCAGATTTTACTCTCAGGATGTCCCCATTCCTGGAATGAACAATCATTAGGAGTTAATACAAATCTCCAACAACTGGTGATTCCAGCAACACACAGAACCTGGTTCTGTCTTTTATCCATGCTGAGTCCGTGTTGATTAAGTAGGTCTGTAATAGTCATTTCTGGCTCAGACTTTCAAACTTTCTTAATTTATCAAGTTGGACATCTGAGTTTCTTTCTACTATAGTCTGCACTTCTTTCTTGGCATAATGTTCTGTAAGCCTTACTATTTTTGTTTACACAGGACAAGCCTTCTCAATGTTCTACCTTCCTTTGCTCTTATTTCTTCTGCTTTATTAGCTTCTTGCTCAACGAAAGCTACCATATGTTTAATCTGCTATTACATGTCTGCTCTACTAAAAGCCAGGCAGAGGTGAAGCACGTCTAGAGAATGACAGGCTCAAGTTGCAGTTTGAAAGTCAGGATGAAAGAGATGTTTGAGAGAAATTTAACTAATGTGTCATTTTTTTGCTTATAACACTGAATTCTGTTTCTGCTATCACTCATTTTTTAATTTTTCTAATGCCGGTTTATTATTCTCTTGTGGCTTCAATATTTATCATAATTTCTTTAAACTTTTTTTGTTTCCCTTGTTTTGAAATATTACATTTTATAGTTTACTTTTTGTTGGCAATTGTGAAGCATTCTAGTCCACTTTATGTGGGTTTTATTCTGCCCACTATTGTTCTGTTTCTTATAATAATTTTGGATAAAATATATCCAAATTTTTTGTATTGTTTATTTTGAAACAAAAGCTATTTTTTTCTACATTTTTATAATGGGAAAGAGGCTTCAAAGGTATAGATTTTATAGATTTCCTGTTCTAGGACTTGTCTTCTGTTGATTTGCAGGAACAAGAAAAAAAAAATGTATAGTTTCTTTCAGAGATCTGCCTCTCATTGTCTTTTTTATTCAAGGAAATCAATCGATCTTTCAGTAAAGGAAAATAGATTTGAAACCAAGAATATCATAGTGGGTGAATGGCATAGGAGTGATATTTTATTTTATTTTATTTTTTGGAGGGGGGTTTCCGGTATTGGGAACCGAACTCATGACCTTGCACTTGCCAGGCAGGCACTGTGCCGCTGAGCTAATTCCCCAGCCCCAGGAGTGATATTTCAATCAAAGGCACACATTGAATTTAATGATCCAAAACAGAGATTAGAAATTCTTCTCTAGAGTTATAGGCCATAGTGAGTCTGCTCTAAATAATTCTTTCTGTATACATCGTCATCGTAGCAGTGATGACAAAATGCAGTGACTCTCTGGTCTAATAACTGTCCCACAGCTTCTTGGCCTTAATTACTCAGATATTATTTCTTGTTTCTTCCACCCTCCCTCTCACCTACCCCAGGCATTTTCTTAAAAAGAAATTTTCTAGGTCATTTTCTCTTTTGCATAACTGCATTTCTGATAATTACTTTGGAAAAGTTCTCTATGAAGCCACATATATTTTTGAAGAATTTGTGTTTCAATAGTTTTGATGAGAACTAATTTTAAATTTTCTAGAGTTTGTCAAAAATGCTTCATGTATGCATAGTGTATTGATGAGGTCATGACCCAAATCAACACACAGTGTATTCATTCTTCTGTTTGATATTTGTGTCAACAAGTTTCTGCCTGTTTTAAGGGTCCTTAGTAAATAACATTTTGGTATGAGGGTCCTAAGATTCCACTTATATATCAACCAAGGCTAAAAGTTTGGGTTTTTAGATTTGGATTTTCAGTATGCATTAATGACTCCAATATTTGCACCTCTAGCTCACATCTTATTCCCTGGTTTCAAAATTATATGTTCAACTCCAATGATTCTCTGGTATACCACACACACTTAAAATTTCAAATGCCCAATTCCACTTAATCTCTTTGGTTTTTTTCTCAACAACTTTCTCAGTGTTCTATATAAAGTTAAGGGACAAGAAATTTTTATATACCCTTTTTCCAAATAATCTGGGGTGGTAGCACTTTTATTGATACAATTCCCTTAAGAACTTTGGGCACTTTCTACATATCAGATTGAATTCAACTTATGTTTCAGAAGTCACATCCACAACTAGTTTTAATATGGACTTCTGTTTCTTAGAATTACTGCTAGTTCCACAGGAATACTACATCTCTGAGCATGTTTTGCTTTTATTTTGGTGATACTGGGAATTGACCCCAAGACTCATACAGAGCTATATCCCTAGTCTTTTTTTATTTTACTTTTTTTTGAATTTTAAGACAGGATCTTGTTAAGTTACTAAGTTGCCCAGGCTGGCCTCAAAGTTCCCATTCTCCTTCTTCAGCTTCCCAGCCTGCTGAGATTACAGGTGTGTACTACCAAGATGGTATCTTTAAACTTTTAAGAAGCCATTTTATTTCACATAGGAAACACCAATGTAATTTCTTTAAGCTTTTAAAAGAGCTATTACAGCCAAACTTTTGATTTGATCTTTATCCTAAGGCCAGTTCTTAGTTTGAGAATCTTGCACTTATTTTATTAGTTTGGAATCTTGTACTTATTTTCCAGACTGGCAAATTCTACCCTCTCTATAATTCTCCAGCTTCTGTTTGCAAATGGGCCAGTTTTTTTCTGAATCCATCTCTTTCTTGATGTACTTTTTGTATATAGCTGTCACTCTCAGTTTTCTTGTTGGAATCTTTGTCAAATGCAAAAGTCCATCAAATGGTACTTTTACCATTATAGGAGTCATTTAAAAATTTTTTTCTGTAGAAGTTTCTACCCCATTTTCCCAGTCTTTGGAAACAGTTATCATGCTATCCTTCTACCCTCCACTAACAGTTTCCTTCCCATCTGCCATGAAGCTGAAAGCAGTATCACATATTTTGCAATACTATCCAGTTTTCCACAGTGCAAGTATTGCAGCTGCTTTTCCTTCTGCATCCCTTAGTGGGGAAGTGCCTTGAGGATGCCAAGAAGTTTCTGTGCATGGATCATAGTAGGTATTCAATAAATAATATCTGATAAGTACATAGTGACACAATTTCAGAAGACCTTCCAAAATATCATTTTTATCTCATATTTATTACCCAGGATCTATCTGTCTAGTTCATTTACTTTCTAACTATATTCTTGATATTGTACAGTCTGTACAAATATTACATGTGGCCCCTATTTGAACCAAAATCCTCCTATCTACAAAACAGAGTTCTTAAAATAAATTTTTAATGCCTGTAACACTCAGTTTTTAGGGGCTGGGGATTTAGCTCAGCGGCAAAGCGCCTGCCTGGCAAGTGCAAGGTCGTGAGTTCGGTTCCCGGTACCGGAGAAAAACCAAAAAAAAAAAAAAAAAAAGACTAAGTTTTTTCATGTGTAAAATAAGAATAGTACTAGTACTTATATGATTGAGGTGAGCATTTTTTGGTTTCAAGAAAGAACTCACTAGATAGTGGTAATTATTGTTATCATTTTATTTTATTTTTATAAAGGCATAATAGATTCATAACAATGACTGCTTCCAGAAAGAAATGAATAGCTGGGAAAAGGGGTGGAAAGGAAATTCACATTTTTTGGGTAATGTCTGGATGCTGTACTATCTACATGTATTACCTGTATCAATTAGCTTTGTATTACTACAGTGAAATACCTGAAACAGCTAACTTATAAAGAGAAAAGGTTTATTTAGCTCAGTTTTGGAGGTTCAAAGTCCAAGATCAGGTAGACCATATTTGTTTGGTGTCTAGTTACCTTTGTGGATGGCGGCATGTCATGGAGGGACATGTGTAGCGCAAATAGTCACCTCTGGAATAGGAACAGAGAGAAAAGTGACCAGGGTCCCTCTGACTCTGTTGAAGGTCTGTCCCTAATGACCGCAGGGCCTTTCAGCAGGCTCAACCTCCTGAAGGTTCCACCACTTTCCAACAGTGCTATTCTAGAGACCAAGCCTTTGTGGACCTGTGGAGGACATTCAACATCCAAACCATAGCAATGCTTATGGAAAACAATAATTGAGTTTTTTACAACTATGTATTTGTTCATTTTAATTTCTATTATTAATAGCTTCAATGATGTATTTTATTTTTGTTTTGTTTTTTGTTTTTGGTACCGGGAATTGAACTCAGGACCTTGGGCTTGCTAGGCAGGCCCCCAATGATGTATTTTTTTTTTTTTTTTTTTTTTTTGTTTTTCTCCGGTACCGGGAACCGAACTCATGACCTTGCACTTGCCAGGCAGGTGCTTTTGCCGCTGAGCTAAATCCCCAGCCCCAATGATGTATTTTAAAAATAGAAAAAATCTTGGGATACTTCATTAATAACAAATGTAAAATAGGTTTATTTTAAAACCATTTTAGAGATGATTAGAATTGGTAATTAAATAAGAAGCATTTTTATAAGAGGGCAGTCTTACTGAGGTATGAATATTGTTTTCAGTTGTAGAGGTTTTCACTAGATTAAGGAGAAAATAGTCAATAATATCAATGTAAATCCACATAATGAACATAAGTATGAGGTATGACTCAATGATGGAGTGTGCCACAGGGGAAGTGCTTATCACTTCACATTAATACCCTTATTCAAATATACGGTATTTTACAACTTGTGGTTTATCTCACATGCTTGACTGATGCAGAGCTGTCTATCCAGAAAGCACACATTAAGTAAATGCTCATTCTCATTTTGTTTCATCTTTCAAATAGGCTTTAGGGCAACAGAGTTTTCAGACCGTCAAAGGCACTTAAACCTCCACCAAACGAAATTCTCAATTATGTATGAAACAAAAATGGACACTGGGAAAATTATCCCAGCTTTACAGTGGGAGACAAAACTCTCTTTCTTGTATAGAAATTTTTAATGTCTAAAGGAAACTGATTCTATTCTTTGGATTCAAGAGGACCTTAAATTGATTTACTGTCCAGGTATTTATTAATTACTCTGAGCGCCCTGCACTGTGTGTTTGATTAGCATTCAGTTGCTGTCTATCACATCCATTCTCTCTGTTAGTCTCTTTATCTACTTATTTTGAACTTTCGTTTCTTTGTCTAAAAAAGCAATAGCACTTTTATAATTTTTGCCATCTATTGTCTGTCAGGAGCATTAAGAAATAATATCTATATTTGAGTGTGGCAGAAATAAATACATGACTAAACTTTTGTCAAAATTGTCATAAAAATTCCAAAAGACAAGATATAGTCAGTTTGTCTGAATGTCATGTTTGCTTGTCATGCTGTTTGCTCTTTATTCTGTCCAAAAAGAGATGATAGTCCAGGAAAAACTATGTGAATCATATGTTAGACAAAATGTTACTCTCCTTTCTCTAAAGAGAGTCTATAATTTGACCTCAGTTTAAAAACTAGGAGAAAGAAGTGTCAAATCCTTCCAGGGGAAATATTGGTGATCAATAGATACAAAAAAAGTAGATATTTAGTAGTCTCACCACACAAATAACAACCAGGTGGGTTAAGACATATGTTAATATCAAATTAGCTATTCGACAATGTGTATATATTTCAAAACATTTCCATGATAAATCCATATAGTTTTAGCTGTCAGTTTATAAAAAAAGAATGAAGACTATGTTTGCTACATAAATTTTAAAAAAGCAAAGGGATGGGAAAGAGAGAGAGGGAAAAAAAAAAATTAAGCCAGAAATTAGGAAAGTAGAGAATGGGAAAGCAATAGAAAAGAATAGCAAATAATTTCTACTCTCTACTTCTATGAGATTAACTTTGTAAAGAATATTTGCATTCTTATTATCTCTTTGGTTTTCTCCATGAAATTTTTTTCTCACTGAATTCTTAGCCTGTTTATTTT